GGCGATATCGACATGAACAACGATGGCTATATAAGCTTCGAAGAATGGCGGTAAGTTTCTCAGCATTCAGTAGAGTATGTTGTGAGTCCACGGGTGTTGTTGTAAGCCCAAGCCGCAAAGCGAGGTGTAGAGTAAAGGGTGGCCGATTATCCGACGTATATGGGAAGGTCCAGATCTAGGTCCAGGAGCACGACTCCACGGTGACCGGCCATGATGTTCTCGGTGTGGCTCGGTGTATAGGCGTATGCCTGAGGTGGGCGAGAGGCTTCCACGATGGATGCTCTGGTGCTGTTGTCGGGTTTCTCCTTCCTCTTTTTCTTCCCGGAAAAACCTCTCCTTCTGTTCTGCTTGGAGAGTGAATCACTGACAGAACCCGGACACGCGCAGAGATTTTCTTTTGTTTATGCCAACACACAATGGCCACGCCCCTCTGAAGGCCGTGTTGGACTTTTATTCTTCCATCGTCACCCTCACTGCTGAAGGTGACTCGATGGTATCGGAGGAGACACTTGAAGGTTTAGGTACGACCGGCTTCCTTCTGCAAACCCTCTTTGGATCCATTTTGAGGATCGCATCCCCTTCGGATCGTGAGCCCGGCACCACAACCGAGTCTTTTGCTTCCGCCGCCACCACCGACGAAGACGGCCGCCCCGTGGTGATGGTCGTCCCCTCCCAGGAAGGCGCTGCGTCGCCCGTTCCTACCACAGCTGCGCAGCTTTCCACCTTGTCAAAACCGCAGCAAAATCAACAAACCTCACCAAACAGCCTCACTTCTGCCACAGACTCCGCCCAACAGCAACCTTCCCTCACGTCAAAAACAACTTCAGCAACATCATCATCAAGAACCACGACAACAACGCAAGCCGTGGTACCCATCTCTCCTCCAGGCTTTTCAGGTACCAGCGCCAACATGAACAATATGAACATGGAGGCAGCGGTGCTGCAGGCGTGCATCGAGGCCGGAAACGAGAAGCACACAGGCATCCTCCGAAGACTCCCCGGCGTCGGCACCTCTCAAGCGAACCAGGTCACAGACAGCAGCTCCGAGCAAGGCTCTAGCTCAGATGCAACTGTAGCACCCAAGACCAAGAGACTGACTGACTTCGCCCCTGATCCAGGTTACTTTGTCGCAGGTGCCGTCGCTGGAGGACTATCGCGGACTGCCACCGCTCCTCTCGATCGTCTCAAGGTCTACCTGCTCGTCAACACTCGAGCCAGTACCGAGACTGCGGCCTCTGCTCTGAAGCAGGGTCGTCCCCTGGTTGCTCTGAACAACGCTGTGCGACCTTTTAGTGATGCCGTCAAGGATCTCTGGAAGGCAGGCGGCATGCGCAGTCTTTTTGCAGGTACGCTCATGCTTATACTTCTACTGATGTTTATATACATTCATGGCTGTCGGCTGCTACTGGTCCATCGTTCCATCTATCTTGAACTCCCTAGCTTGAAAGATGATTGGCCATTTTAAACCGAGCAGCTACTTGAATTATGTACTGACTTCCCCAAGGCAACGGACTCAATGTCATCAAGATCATGCCCGAGAGTGCCATCAAGTTTGGATCCTATGAGGCCGCAAAGCGAACCCTTTCTAAGTTTGAGGGACACAACGACCCCAGACAGATTAGCAGCACCTCAAAATTCGTGGCGGGAGGTGTCGCTGGCATGGTTGCCCAGTACGTTATTTCTTCACAACACTCCTCCAAGTTTGCCTCATTTGCTTTAGCCGCTGTAATCTCTATCATTTATTGCAGAGTCGCCGTCTCTCCCCTTGTCTCTTTATGTCTCTCTTGCCGCCTTGACTCGCTGCTGACGTCCCCTAGGTTCTGTGTATACCCGCTCGATACACTTAAGTTCCGGCTCCAGACGTCGACGGTCCAGGGCGGCCTCAGCGGCAATGCACTTGTTATCGATACTGCCAAGAAGATGTGGCAGGCGGGAGGCATGCGCATCGCCTATCGTGGTGTTACCATGGGCCTCATGGGCATGTTCCCGTACAGTGCCATTGACATGGGCACATTTGAGTTCCTCAAATCCTCGTACAAGAGATACATGGCCAAGTACAAGGGCATTCACGAGGAGGACGCCAAGCCGGGCAACATCATGACTGGTCTCATAGGAGCGACCAGTGGTGCTTTCGGAGCGTCAGTGGTGTACCCACTCAACGTCCTCCGCACCCGTCTCCAGACGCAGGGAACAGTCATGCACCCTGCAACTTATACCGGCATCGTGGATGTCGCACGGCAGACATTCAAGAATGAGGGTGTGCGGGGCATGTACAAGGGACTCACGCCTAACCTGCTCAAGGTTGCTCCCGCTCTGAGCATCACATGGGTTGTGTATGAGAACTCAAAGAGAATTCTTGGTCTGGAGTGAAGAGACAAAGACTCTTTTGAGACGGGGGATTGAAGTGGACAATGGGAGGGAGTGGATTTTACTACAAGACATCAAAGGGACACTAAAAAAAGCCAGGAGGCATATTCTTGGGTTCCTCATTTGAATTGTGGAGGAAGACGAAGATTTTTGGAAGGCGACATGGGATCGCCTAGGTTTGGCCAGCTCAAGAAGAGCGGCACACTCTGTTTTGTTACATAGCCCCGTCGTCAATGGCGTTTGGAAGACGTGGTCAGAGAGAGAAAGAGAGATACCAGAGAAGACTTTTGCTCGCTGCAAGGGTGGATGGAACCAGGCTGGCGGTAGCTGTCGGTAGCTTAGCTGCACTACGGTGCGGATATGGCAGCGGGAAGCCCCAGAGATGTTTGCTCAATACAGACGAATGCCTGCGCATAAGTGGTTGGTTGCCACGTTGGATTGATGCTTTGCAGGGTGAGGTTATCGTGAGAGTGACGATGGAGGGCCTGTCTATTATGTACTGGTCGTCATGTCAGAGCCCTAGGTAAACGTCGCAGAGTCCGCCGTCTTCATTAAAAACCCAACATCTCCCAATCAGTCTCATCTTGATCTGCGATCCGACAAAAAGGAAGACAGAACAGGAAATAAGCATCAAAATTGGTTGACGTAGGCCTCGAGATAGAATGGGACGTCGTCGAGTTTGCCAAGCTGGCCTACCTTAAGGGAAAAGAAGCTTACGCCGCGATCGTCGTCACCCCGCGTCCACACTGAACCCCGTTGGAGGGGTTGGATACAAGACACCCACTATGAAGAAGCTTGATTGATGGGCAGGCTCCAGTGAATATGCAGAGAGACGACTGTGATTCGTAACCCGACGACTAATAACGATGATATCCTGGTAGACCATAGTTGGTTCGGAGGGACTAGCCGAGGCTGGTAGGGGGTGACTTGGATAAGCATCGAGGGGGGGAAATAAGGTACTGGAAGGAACTTTGTTTATTGCGAGCTAATTACGTGGGCTGAATGTACCTTGAGATAAGGTAGGTAGGTACTTTACCACAGTAGCTATCTCCGGATACGTACTGCTGTAGACGTTGGACTTGGGTACTTTTGTCGGTGTAAGATCGGGCCAACATTGCTCCACTGCCTCTTTTCCCCCAAGTCCAATCTTTTGGAGCTTGTCAGATTGCGCATCCAACTTTATTCAGTCACCTCACATTAACAAGTCACTAACGAGTCCACGACCATCCTTGCTGGACGAGGAACTTGTGCTCGTCTTACTTTTTCACGCTGCTTCTCCACTCGATAGCCGTTATCCAATAATCTCAATTGACTTTTGCCTTTCCATACTTCTAGGTTCCCCACCGTCCTTAACGAGCTTCCTGTTTCGTTTGGCTGCACAACAAGCGTGTCACGCAAGCAAAGCTGCAAAAGAAGAGTCAAGAAGCCGTGCTGCCATGGACTTGGTGACTTGGAGACAATTGCTCTGCGGATACTGCAGGACTGACTAGGTACCAGGGGGCGAAGAGAGACTGAGATGGTTCACACCATGCAATGTGCATCTTGCGCTTGGTAGCAAATCAAGTCCCCGACACTGCCGTTGTCCGCGGTGCCGGTACTTGGTCTCATATCGTTGCCCTGATCTGCAAGCTTACGAGTCTGCCCCCCCTCTTTCACGATGTCGAGTGAATCCTTCCACCGTATCGGGTGCAGGCCCGCCGGGGACGGCGTACGGGCAGCGGCGTCTGCCTTGTTCACGCTTGTCTTGCGTCTTCGGCGACCCGACCGGGTTCGGTCTTGTGGATTCTGATTGCAGTTCGTTCGTGTATCCGTAGGTGGTTGGGGGTTCCCTCTCTCTCACTTTGTCTCTGAGTATCTGCGAGGTTGTCTCAATCTCGGCTCCGACTCAACTCCTACTAGCCTCTTTCTGTGAAGCCATTCCTGTCAATCCCATTCAACTCCATCTCTCCCACTCTCTCTTCTTCGTCCCTCGTCTGCGGTATTCGTAACTTTCCCCTCTATTCTCCCATCGTACCCCCTCCGGCTTACCTCAATCGAGCGTGAACGCGCACTTCTTCGTGGCCCCGACTTGTGTCCTCCTTCCTATTATCACCCATCTTACGTCGGCGCGCGTGTCCCTTCTGTTGTCATTGACAAGGTGCAATCATCTACTGACACGCGAGAGAGATACTTCACTCATACATTGTTTGATCAGTCAGCCAACAGCAACGGCATTACTCACGGTCACAGAGGGGTGCTGAAGCTCTGAAGCAAACGAGAGCCCCGTCGCCGAAACTGTTTGACTCCGTTTCTTGGCGTCCGTTCTACCCGTTGCCTTCGACACTGCGCGTATCAGCCAAGTCCCCTTCACGATTCAGTCGCTGTCACTTGCTGTCACTGTTTGGCGTGCCAGACTGCCACCGTCTACCCCGTCAGAGACTCAGAGTGCCCTGTCCCAAGGGGCAAAGCTCAAACATTAGGTGACCCGGCATTAAGAAACAGAACCACCAAACGAAGGGAACAAAACGTTATACCTACTCCAAAACGGTTGTATCCTACAGAGCACAGACAATCCCCCAAGGGCCCCAAGGGGACTCTGTCAGAAGACAAGAAAGAAGGGATCAAAGGGACTGAAATAGTAACAAGCCGCCGCCATGCCGGCCCCGTATTCCGACAACCTGTACTCCGCCGACGACTCCGACTTTGACGAAGTCCCGGACGACAGCCTCGACGCCCACCTCTCGCCCACAGACGGCTACTTCCAAAGCAGCACTTCATTGTCAGCCGGGGGAATATACCCTCCGCAGCAGCAAGAGTCTCATTTCCACAACAGCGAGGACAACGTCACTGACGCGACGACGTTCCCCACGTCCGCCGCCGTGCCGCATGTGCCCAACGTTCTCGTCCAAGACCCTTCACTGCTGCAGCGCGAGCAACAAGAGCAAGGCTCCTCGTCGTCAAAGAAGGACCGCGAAGCCAAGGAAGAGACAAGGTTGAACACATCCTTCCATCAACACCACCCCAACAACGACGACGACAACGTAGAAGCACAATCACGTCACTATTCCTCAACACACAGGAGGACCTCGTCATCCGTCTCGGCCATCGACGATTTTTATGACGACGGGGCCTCTTCTACCGCCGCAGACAGCGAGGCGACGCCATCACATACAACCTACACCTCCAACGTCCACTCCCATTCCCACGCCGCCCAGAGCTCATCGTCTTATACGCCTTACTCGCCCTCCACAGACGCTCCACTGCGCACGCCCCAGACTCACTCGAGATACTCCTCCAACAACCCGGCCTCTTTGTTTCGCATCCCTAGCGAGGCACCACCCGCCTACACGCCATCGCCCACGTCCCCGCTCTCGTCATCACCCACAGAGTTTAGAAACTATCAGACCTTCAACACCATCTCGAGGACAGCCAACAACAACAACATCAATATGGGCGCACCTGAAGAAGAGAGGCGCCTGCTTGGCCGCGACCCCGAGAGCATGGGCGACGTGCCCTATGATGACAATGACGACGACCATGACCCTAGACCTCCGCCATCGTGGAAGGACAGAGCTCTTAAGAAGTTCCCTTGGGCCTCGAGGCGGACGCTGAAGATGGTGCTGCTTGCCGCCTTGGTCTTCTTCACCTTGACGGGATTCCTTAGCATGTTGGCCTCGACTGTGATCAATGCGGTGCGTCGCAACTCCCATCTACATCTGCACCTACTACTATCTTTACATGAAGCTAACTAACAACCCGTAGCCATCTGAAAAGTCTCCTGCCAAGGAGCCTCCCCAGCAATATGACCCCGTCACTGGACTGCCCATCAAAGACGGATCTCCCGTGCCAAGTGACCCCTCCAAACCCGCCGAGCCTGGCGAAGCCGTCCCTTGGCGTCCATCGAGCACATGCCTCCAAACCGAGCACCGCTTCGAGCCCAAGTTCTTCGACCTCACCTTCGCCGCCGACAAGGACATCAGCGTTCTCCAGGCCGTCGAGAACAACTCCCCCTCCCGCGGCTACCAGCCCCAGGTCTCGGGCGACTTTGTGATCCGCCGCCAGCAGGCCGGCCGCCCCGGTCCCTCAATCGAGCTCGAGGTCGTCTCCAACGACCCGGCCCTGGACGTCTCCGTCGAGTGGAACTCGGAGCAGCAGCTCATCATCCGCACCCCGCAGCGCATCGAATGGACCCAGTCCCGCCGGCCCTGCATGACCGTCCGCGCGACCGTCTGGGTCCCCGAGGGCGCCTCCCTCCGCCACATCCTCCTCATGGCCATGAACCTCGACGTCCGCGTCGTCGACGACCTCTCCGTCAACCTCGCAGACGGCCTCGAGATCGGCACAATGTCCGGCGACGTCCACTCCCCCGTCGAGGTCCCCTCCACATACCACCTCAACTCCCGCGACATCCTCGTCAAGACCATCTCGGGCGACATCATCGGCTCCTGGCCCCTCTACGACTCCCTGAAAATCAACTCCGAATCGGGCGACATCATCGCAAACGTCTCGCCCCAACAAGTCCTCGACTCCCGGCCCCGCCCGGCCGTCCTCGAAGTCGCCACCATCTCGGGCGACATCACCGTAAAAGAACCCCTCGCCGCCGCCGCGGAGAGCAGCAAACCCGACACCGTCGTCCCGCCGCGCGACTACATCACCTCCATCGACACCAAATCCGGCTCCATCAAGGCCTGGGTCGCCTTCTCGTCCGCCGCCGTCGCCGAGAGCATCAGCGGCGACATCGCCGCCGAGTTCCTCCCCGTCTACAACGTCAGCCTCCTCCAGGCCGTCGCGGAGCCCGAGCTGCACACAAAGACGAAATCCGGCAACACGGCCGTGAAGATCCTCGAGCCCATCTGGGTCGAGATCCTCGGCACTGAGGGCGCGTACGAGGGCGAGAAGCCGCGCGCGAACCCGGATGAGCCCGTGGACATACCGACGAACCCACTTCCTATCCCGGATAAGATCCCGCGTATGCCGGGCGTGCCGTTCACGCCCATCGGCGCCGGACCGTGGAAGCGCATCCCGCTGCCTGGCGGTCGACACTTGGACGACGCCTGGCGCGAGGTTCGTCGTCACCCGTTGGGCGATGCCATCACTGCATCTTCTAAGCAGGAGCGCGCCGTCTCGATCAAGGATCAACCCCCCATGCGCCACCTCAAGTCCTCGCACGGGTCCGTCAGCGGGAGCATGGAGCTCAAGTACCCTGCCTCCTGGGAAGGCACCGTCGAGGCCGAGAGCATCAGCGGCAAGATCAACATTCTCGGTAAAGACGTAAAGATTGACAGCCGGACAAAGTGGCCCAAGGCCGTGCACGCTCACAAGGGCCAGGCGTGGAACTGTCAGGTTTCGTTGGGGAGTGTGTCTGGCGACGAGGTTCTCATCATCGGGGAGGAGAAGTAAGCCAAAACAGGCTTGTTTCTTCCGAGGTATAGAAAGGGGGTTGGGATAGATGTCGTCACCATGTATGCGGGAAATACGTGGACGAAATGATTGCGCAAGTCTGCGTGGTCTTGCTATGCTATAAGAGCAAAAAGAGAGGGAAGGAAAAGGGCATATATACCTTAATACCTGTCGTTACGATGGATGGATGGATGGAATGGATTTCAACGGCGTTTTCATGGATGAGGAAGCTCAGCAAAGGTGAACTGAGCAATATTCTTGGCCAATACCGACGAGGCGAAATCAACAAACCTCGAGCATTTTATTTCCTTTCTCATACTTGAAATATCAATAAGAGCAATCAAACTTCACTGACACTCTTCATCCATCTTCGCTCTCACAGTGACTGGGTTTCATCCTTCCTCATACATCACGACTTCATAGGTGACTGTAGGTAAATGTAAGTAAATAAGGGGGGTATCTCAAGCTCGTCATGCAGACCTCAAACCAACACTCGCTCTCGTCTCCTTGTCCTCAGCCTGCTTCTTCCGCATCGCCGCCGTCGTCATCCTCTTCTTCCTTCTCATTCCGCTAATCCGCTTCCACACTCTCTCCTCCACCGTGCTATCCGCCAAAACATGCCTCCTTAACACAGCGCCGCCAATGGAGGCGCCGCTGCTGCTCTGGCTTCTACCACCACTTCCACTGCCACTCCCACCACCGCTCCGTCCCTGTCGTATACGACCCCCACCACCCATCGTCTCGCGCTCAAACAAGCCCATATCGACCTTGCGGTACCGTACCTCATACTGAACCCACCTCTCGAGGCCAGGCAACCCGACGCCCAACGTCGGCAGGGCAAGCATCCTCAGCACCTCCTCGCCCGTCTTCTCGTCGCGGTTGACGGCGTACAGCGCGGGGAGCGTATACCGCACTTTACCCGGCGCGAACCGCTTCAGTATGCCCTCGAACTCTGCCCTGCGGTCGGCAGCGCTCACAGTGGTGCCGATGCTACCGCCACGACCGCCCGTGATGCCGAGTCCAGGCGCGGCGCGAATCACTCCCTCCTCGTCTTCTTTGCTCTCCAGCTTCTCCCCCTCTTCTACGCCGTCAGCAGCAGCAGCAGCAGCAGCAGTCTCATCCGCACCACCCCCAAGACCCTCCCGAAAAGCCTTGCCGTGAATGGGCGCAAACGGCGCGATCCGGAAATACGCCTTGACCCGCCCCCTCACCCGGATCCAAAACCGCCCGTCCCAGAGCTTGAAGCGCCGCCAGGCGTACCACCTCCTCGTCTCGCGGAACCGCGGCTGCGGGAGCGGCAGGCGGTCTAGCGTAGCGAGCCGCTCGCGCGACATGTATTCTGCGTCCTCGGGCGACTCCCACTGCGTGGGCGGGAAGGTCGGGTGACGGTGCTTGTCGCTGATGTTGGAGGTCGTCGTGAATGTCGTTTGCGGGAGCGGGTGCAAGGAGGGGTAGGGTTCGCGGACGAGGTACCATTTCGAGGGGGCGAGGGGGAGGAAGAGGATGGAGGCTTGGTTGAAGGCTCTTGGTACCGATGGAGGTGTTGAAATCGAGAGAGAGCCTTCCACAAGGGTGGGAAAGAGTTTGGCGACGATGTTTTGGAGGGATGTGTGCTGAGGCGGGGTCCGGTCGGGCGAGACGAAGGCCACGAGTCTCTTTACGACGTACCCCGCGACGGCCCTCCGATGCGCGAGCCGGAGCTCCCTCCTTACGCCGTCGTTCGCCGACTTCCTGCCCCTCTCGCGCCCGAGTCCGGGACCGGGTCCCAAGACACCTAGCTCAGGAAGCCGAACGACAAGCGTTCCGACATTCGGCTCAAACTCTGCCACTGCCTGCCTCTTGATCCATCGCTCAGCCTCCTGCTCCAGACCCCTCAGCTTCGCCCCACACCGCGCCGACATCCTCAGCACGTTCTCCTTGCGCAGCGCCACGGGCAGACGGTGATTCCGCACCATGTGCCGCACCGCGTTCCTCGTCGTCAGCGTCACGTCTTTATTGGTAGCGTCCTCGAACCAGCGCACGTTATTCGCCTCGCACGTCGCAATCAGCCGGTCCTTGCTGAACTCGAGCAGCGGGCGATAGATCATCACCCCGGCATCCTCGGTGCGTATCCTCGTCATGTTCCGCGCCGCCGCCGCGGCCCTCGCTTTCGCGGACGCTGAACTCGCAGCGGAGAAGAGCCAGTCGCTCCCAGAGCTGTCGTCTTCACCGCCGACATAAGGGCCCTCATGCCATCCCGTCTGCAGACCCGCTCTCAGCTCGGCGCCGTAGAGCTCCAGATCCAGCTCCGAGACGAGCTGTCGCCGCATGTGCCTCCAATCCCGTTTCGGCGGGCGGAAGCTTATCTGCGGCATGCGCATCATCTGGTCGTCGACGTGCCCGCTCTCGTAGACGCCATGCATGTCGTAGCACTCTGGGATATTCCCGGCCTTAAGCATCCCTCTTAGCCCGCGGCTGCCGTGGCCGGCGAGGAGCCTCATCAGCACGGTCTCGTACTGATCGTCCTGATGATGCGCAAGAAAGATACTCTCAACGTGCATCGCAAGACACAGCGTGCCCAACCGCCTGTACCGCACCCTCCTCGCGAGGCTCTCGACGTTAGGCAACAGATTCGGATCGCCCGTGACACCCTCAGCCTTCCAATTCACCGTGTCCCACTGCGGCCGGATATGCTTGAAATTCCGCAACTCCTTCACCACGGCCAGAGCCTCCTCGCGGGACCCCTCGCGCAGGCCATGGTCAATGACGTAGGCTGATATTTTTGCCAGCGGGTTATCGACGACGCGCATGAGGGGGTTGATCTCGCGCAGCTGGTTAAAGAGGTAGGCGAGGGCCATGGAGTCGACGCCGCCTGACACGGCGAGGCCGATGCGGCGCGGCTGGGCGGTGCGGGCGTGGGGGAAGCGCGGCGGGGTGGCGGCGCGGAGGGCGTCGAAGAATTCGAGAAAGGTTATGGGTTTCGGGACCGGGTGGAGGATGAGGTGGCGGGCTGCCGCCGCCGCCGCTGCTGTTGCGGTCGCCGCTGCGGTCGCGATCGGGGGGTTGGTGAGGGCCATTCCATCGCCTCTATGCTGTTGTGGTTTTGTTCTGTGCTGTGTTTCGAGTCCGATGAAGCTATCGTGGGTTTCGGTTTCCAGGATGTTGCAATTGACGAATCAACGGTTGACAGTCTCCAACGTGACGATGGGATAAGAGAAATGGAGCTTTCACCCGAGCAAGTCCCCCACTATGTACCGGAACATGTGAGCTCGGGCTCTTCGGAGGAAAGATTTCCCAAGCTGGTTGTGTCAGGGAGCAACGATAAGGATAAGGTAAGGAGCTCCCCCGGGCCCCGCGCTCGCTGATAACCCACCTCACCGAGCGGCGAGAGCATTGCAGACCTCGGAGAGTCGGAGCTCTAGCGCAAAGACCCCTGCCCATTTTTTTTTTCTGTCGCGTTACGTACAGGGACCGACTGAGCTCCGATAGCTAATACCTCACGATACCTACCAATCTCATCTCCTCCGTCATTCACTCCAAGTGTTCTCTCCCTCTTCATTTGCGCGGATGCACTCGCCGTTGTCCATAGCATTCGGCCCTCTTCCCTCTCGGCCTTTCATTCTGTTGCATATCCAACTCAATTGACCTTTGCTCGGTTGCCTTCGGTTTACATCCGTCAACTTCCTAATCCTCGGCGCAATCCCGAGCACGCGACACAAACATCTCGAACTCCACGAAGCTACCACCACCACCCGAGCCATACCTCATCGAAGGCATTAAGAGAGAAAAGAAGAAGCAAGACTCTCTACGGATCTACCTCCTCACATAAACCACCTCCCACAACCCACCAAAACCGCAACCATGTCCACCACAAACCAACCCCCCTCCTTCACAACATCCCTCCTAGCAGGCGGAATAGCAGGCACGACAGTAGACCTAACCCTCTTCCCCCTCGACACCCTCAAAACCCGCCTCCAGTCCTCGGCCGGCTTCTTCCCCTCAGGCGGCTTCACCGGAATCTACCGCGGCATCGGCTCCGCCGTCGTCGGCTCGGCCCCCGGCGCCGCCTTCTTCTTCTGCACCTACGAGGGTTCCAAATCCTTCATACACTCCCGCCTCCTCGCGCTCTCAGGATCATCATCACCAACAGGGGAAGCGTCGGCGACCAAACCAGCCTGGATCGACCCAGCAACCCACATGCTCGCCGCCTCCCTAGGCGAAATCGCCGCCTGCGCAATCCGCGTCCCCACCGAAGTCGTAAAACAGCGCGCCCAAGCAGGCCAGCACGGCGGCTCCTCCCTCCTCGCCTTCCGCTCCATCCTCTCCCAATACTCCTCCCCGACCGGACGCAACGGCCTCTCCGCCGTCTGGCGCGAACTCTACCGCGGCTGGTCCATCACCGTCCTCCGCGAAGTCCCCTTCACCATAATCCAGTTCCCCCTCTGGGAACGCCTCAAGCGCTGGGGCCGCGAGCGCAAACAGGCCAAGAACTACAAGCTCGACATCGACCCGGCCACGGGGGCAAACACCCGCCGACAAACGCAGTACGAGGTCAGCGCCGTCGAGAGCGCGCTGTACGGCAGCGTGGCCGGCGCCGCGGCGGCCGGGATCACGACCCCGCTCGACGTGCTCAAGACGAGGGTGATGCTGAGCCAGCAGAAGGAAAAGATTGGCGATATCCTGAGGACGATTTACAAGGAGCACGGGATCCGGCCCTTCTTTGCGGGTATCGGGCCGAGGGTCATGTGGATCAGCATCGGGGGGTCCATCTTCCTCGGCAGTTATCAGTTTGCGTCAAACACCTTGACTGGCGCCGTGATATAATAATATCTTTCCAAGAGTTTCTGGGTGTGTGATGGGACGTGGTTGTGCGCAAACAAGCATAGAGGCGCGCGACGTGTAATGCGCTGGGTAGACGGCGAAACCGGCCATGCGAAAAGGGAAATAGAATTTCTGTATTTGGGGGCCCTCAACTTGCCCTCCTGCTGTATAAACATACGCTTCGAGCACGCAGCCAGAAG